ACGAGATTATTTAAATATAGGACTTGCACAACGATGATTTGTTGACGAAACATATGTTTTTCTTTCATAGCGATTTTTACGACGTGCACACGTGCACTTCGAGATTTCTGAAACCTGACTTTTCTGCGTTGAAGAAAAACAAGTCGCGTAACTTTGCGGATCGATAAAGAATTAATTGACTCATCGAGGTGACGTTTCCTCCTGCTTGGTGACGCCTTGACGATCCGGCTCACGACTTGTACGAAAACAAAGTTCATATGACGTCATTTTACCATACGCGTATTTTCTTATCGCGTGACTAATAACAAGCTATTCTTCGAGATCGTCTGTAACAATTTGACTGGTAATTGCAGTTGACGATACGTATTACTCTCTCTCTCTCTCTCTCTCTCTCTCTCTCTCTCTCTCTCTCTCTCTCTCTCTCTTTCTCGCGGACCTCACATTATCGAGAAAATCGATATTTTTATGGATTTATCAGTACACGCGAAATTACAGGTTGAAAAATCACGCGAGTCAATGGACGTAACTGTCAACATTACATCGACGTATCTTATTTATTCACAAAATGCAATTTTCTGTATTTATGTAGTTGCGTGTATCGTTAATGGAGTGCCGATTAAACAAGATAATGAGCATATTTATCAAAAATTTCCTTTGTATAACGTACGTAATTTTCTGGTATATTTTTGCAAAGTTTATTAAAATTGTGCTACGATCGTCGGGCGCTATCAAAATTTTTTTAAATGCTTGTAAAAATACAACCAATATAAAATTTAGAGTGACATAAATAGCTAGATAACAATATGCCCAAGCTAAGTTTGCTGTTAAAGTATTAAATATGTAAGAATAACCATATCCTCATGATTAGTACATTGAATGTTTTTGTATTTCATACTTTTCACTCTACATTGTTATCTGTAGCTATTTATGTCATTCTAAATTTTATATTGGTTGTATTTTTACAATTTTAAAAAATGTTGGTATCGTCCGATAACCGTGGCGCTATTTTCATAAAATTCGCAAAAATAAAAGCATCGAGATTTAATAAATCTAGTATATTACTTCAATTATATATACTTTTATTGTTTTTTAATGTATTAATATAATTTATATTATGACAAGAAAATAAAATAAGGCTCAAATAGATTAAAAATTAAATTTAAAAAATTTAAAGGCTATAAACAACAGCTAATTATTTAATGCTAATCTAGCATTAAACAACTAGCTGTGGCTATAAGCTCTTAGATTTTTTTAATTATAATTTGTATTGTTTCTTTAAAGTTTTAAACACTTAAAGTGGTTCTTTAATAAATCGAGTTAATATAGAAATGTCTAATTTTTTTTATATAATTAAATTGAAGTACCGAAATTGACGTGTGCAAAATTCTTTCGGTAGATTAACGATGAAATAAGAGAGAAAAATGTTAAAAATATAATCTTTCATATACACGTAATCTAGTGATAGATAAAGCTCACAGATGCTTTTTTGACTAATTGCACATAAATCTTACCACAGACTTTTCTCAAAAACGAGATTGTAATAGTTTAAAAAATTACGATTTTAATGATCACAAAGAATAATAAGTCAACGGCTATTCTTCGGAAAGATATTTACGTGTATAAACTTGTATATAAATTTAACTCGAAAAGTAAACATAATCTTATCTTTCGAAGATGCAAAGCTCTTGATTTATTATCGTATGTTCCATACTATTTCATTAAGATGTAGTTTTAGACACGTAATTTTAATATTTTATTCAAATTATACAGATATTTGTAATTGAGTGTGCCCTGGTGGAGGCAATCCAAATTTTTTCGGCTTAACTTTACTAAAGAATCACCTTAATAAAATCATTTTTAATTGGGTAAATAAAAATCACAAGTGGAATTTTCCGCGTCATTTGTAAATAACATGCGAGCGATATGACAGTCGAAATAGTAATCATATTTTATATATATATATAT